AAACTTATAATACATGATAAAAATGCTTAATTGACACTACTTTTACTTAACTATTATAAATTGGATTTTGAAATAAAACTCATATCTTAAAATGTAAATACAAAAACAAGAAAGTTTTATTAGGAAATTCAAGTGATCTGATTCAGTTACCATGAAAATGAGATAAAGTATTTGAAATTGAAGTTTTAAAGTGAGATCCATTAGATTCAATAAATATGATAAGTTTATCAGTAAGTATACAACTTTTTAAATCTATCAAAGCAAGTTTTTTCATAATCAAAGCTAATATCAAATGGATTTCAAAATGGTTCTTAATTTTTTTTATATCGTTTGTAAAATTTAAAAAATTCAAGTAATCCTTACATATTAACAATTTCAATATAAAAAATAATAAAATTTTTTTCATCATAAAATATTGACATGATATAAGTTTTTTTGTAAAGATTTTCAAAAAAAGCATCTATCTATGGAACAAAGTTCACACATCTACATTTATAAATAACATGCTTTGAACAAAATTAGCTGTTTGATCATAAACGTCAATATCACATTGTTAATAACATAATTTTAACCTCCCAAATCTATTTCTTATTGCAGCTGGATTTGAAGATTTCAAATAAAAATATTCTTATCCCAAAAATTTCATACACAAACCTAAGGCTTTGATTTCTTTTATTCAAAATTTAGAAGATACTCTAAGAGTATAAAGATATCAAGTTGTAATTTTTGTTGATGTAATCATTTTGAAATGCATTTTTGATTAAAAATATTCTATAAAATACAAGACTAATCTTACTTAAAATTTTGTGAGTTGGAAGAATGTAAGAAATAGTACAAGTTTGCAGTGAAAATTTAAATTTGTGCTTCTTTGTATTATAAATGATTTGAATTAATCAAAAATTTTACAAAAATTTAGAGAAATATTTTACATATAATATATGTAATAATAAGTAATACAAGTAGAAAGAGTTTTTAATAAAATAGAATATAGAAAAATAAATCAATTTTATATATTATGAATTATATATTTACTATAGAATTTTATTCAAAATTTCTTATCTTAATTTATTCAAATAGTAGAAATGAGTAGACATTATCAAATTCACATTTTTTTATATAACTTTGTATAATCAATTATAGATATTCATGGAAGTTTAAGTTTTGAATCAGGTATTATATATAATATTATATTTTATCAAATTTGAAAATATTCTGAGCTGAAAATCAAATATTGTCAAATTTTTTAAACTTGTGGATGCAATTTTCTTCCATACAAAGTTTTGAATACATGAAATGTATCTAGTTTTATATGAATCAAAAAAACCAATCAACTCTCATAATCTTTATTCAAATAAACGTAAAATTTTTTAACTGTCATGCTGTTTGATTATATAATCAATTTTAATCTGATGAAGATGGTGTTAAGTTTAAAAATCATGATAATAGCATATTAAACTGTTGCAATCTTGAAGTAAAACTTCTGTCTTAACTAATAATTACTGTATGTGGTATTGATTGGAAATGTAAAGTTGAAATGCAATTTTATTGAAATGACAACTAAAACGATATTTTTTAAATATTCAATTTACAAAAAAAATTAATTCGTTTTTAATTTTTGGAAAAAAGTTATTTTTGCAAAACATTGATACAAATTTTATTCAAATATTATCTAAATAATTTATTTTAAACGAACGTGGTTCACTTTGTCATCATTTTTTTTATTTACAATCATGAATTATATCTCAAGAATCAATTTACAAATACTCTTGGCTTCAAACATACATTTGATACATATAAAGTACAATAATAACTTCAAGGTCTGTGTCTGCATGTTACATCACGAATATTTATTAATTAATTTGATTGTTAATTAAATTTATATAGCATGGAACTAGAAGATATAATGCGAACATGAATATTTAGATATAATTCTAATAGAATTTTCAATTTAGAACACAAAAGTTTTGAATTATATCAGTGGATGAAAGTATTTGATATAAATTATCTATTTAATTTCGACTTTACCTTTACTTCAAAAACTTAATTGTCTTCTCATAAAATGCACAAAAATATGATCTCACTGGAACTCTTAGATTTTTGATGCAAAGTTTTCAAATACATATTTGGCATTTACCCCTACTAAATTTGAGTTCTTTGAAAAACTTCACGACTTATGATTTTGATTGATAAACCTAAAAAGATTTTCACAAACCTAAAAAGTCAAGCAGGTTTATTTCAATGTCTCAGTTACTTCAAGAATTGATACAATTGCAGTGTAATCCTCACGTAATCTCAATATCTCCTATAATGAACAATCTCAGATGTACCGACTCCACATTGTGTCAATCCTTCGCAAATTATTCCAAACACCAATATTTCATTCTGCCTTAAAATTGTAATTGCTCAAAAACTCGTTAGAGGAGTTCGTTCGGTAGCGAAGTCTGTTTGCACCTCGGTTTACTTTGGTCGAGGTTCATTTTCTATATTGGAGGAATCCTAATCCGATGACAAGCCTCAATAAAATCACCTTTTTTTCTTTCACTTCAAGATGCATCGTCGGTTTTGGACTAGAAAGCAATCATTCCCCAAATCCAAACAAACTTGACGGGTTAAAAGAATGTCCTGAATAGCAAAAGTGTTGAAGGATTGGAAGTCTGACCGTCAAAGTTAAGTATTACTTCGTCGGCATCGCGTATGAAGTCTCCCGAGTAAGTTTTCAACACCCCCTGAAATCGATTGGGGCAATTTTGGAACCACCTTTTCAGGTTCAATTAAGAACATGAGCATGGAAATTGCGCAGGGAATCATATCTTTGACTAGCGTTCGTACGTTGTTCGAGCTTTGATGAACCGCAACATTTATCGGAGCAAATGAAGCGAGTTAGATGCAACATGTGAGGCAAAAAAATATTGTGGTCTCCATCTGGTTCCGCTTAAGACACTGCATGAGACAATCTATAGATTTCACCACAAGATAGATTGTCACAAAAGTGACAGGGATGATGTGCTTCAGAGTCTTGCATTGGGTTTTAAAATTGTACCGGAACCATTATCCACCCATGACACCTTGTCCATACCCAAGAGGCCATCACCAAAATATAATATAGATCATAATTTTTTGCTTTCTTCCATTTCAATCTACAAGTGCCGTGAGTTTAGAAAAGATTCATTCAAATGAAATAGACTTTTCAACAGGTTTATGACAAGTAATAGCTTGGCGCAATCCTGGAACTTAGTCAAGTCATTTAACTCAGTCGTTTGAAGAGGTTCCATCATACCCATCCATTGCCCACCTATTCCTCGTAACCATCAATTACCCACCTATGGGTATGGGTGGGTATTGGGTACCTATGGGTATAGGTACCCATTGCAAGATTCTGGTATGCTTGTTACGTCTATCCAAAGGTCGAGCAGAATGAATAGCTGCGCTGGATAAGAAAGGAAACGCATGAGTTGAAGAAAGAAAGTGAGAATGTTTACGAGCAGGAGGAGATCATGATGTGGATAAGAACGTGATGTCCGCCAGAGATACGAGATTGAAACTGCCAAGGATAAAGATTTCTATTGAGTTCTATGGACTCAGGAGATACTATCAGAATGAACTTTCCGTCATGAATATGGAGGCCTAGGTAAGGTTCAAAAGATGAACTTTTGAGCCTTAGCTAGGCCTCCATATTCATGACGGAAAGTTAGTCCTACCTATGCATGCATCTCCGGTCGTCTCCCCAAGGGCATGGCGTATCAAGTCTAATACGCTATCGATTCTACCGGAGATAGTGTCGATTACGTTTTTGAGGTGACCGAAAGTTCGTGGCAGGAGTGATTTGTAATGAAAGAGATGAACTGAGATGCACGGCTTACGCGGTTTTCACACTGAATGTCGAAGGGTGTCTCTACTTAAAAGTTCAAGGTAATAGATAGAAAGTCTCTAGCAGCGGATCCGATCGCTGACTCCGTAACTTAGTCTAGTAACTCTGTAGTAGAAAGAGGGAGCTAGATAAATTCTCATGTCGAGCCAGAGTTCTTCAGATCTATAAACCCTACTTCGTAAGCTCTGATTCTCTTCGTTGTCGAATAACTGTACTGCATTTGAGTGGGTATGATTATTGAAAGTTGTTCTGTGAGAAATAAGAAGATCTTCAAGAGAGAAGTTTTCACAAAGGAACCAGCACCAGTGCTCTTCTGCCTAAATTCCTCTGTTATTTTCAGATTTATATGATCTGACAGAACTAGCGAGTTTTGTTCTTTACATGAACGATCCGGTATTTGAACAAGCCAAAGTCACAGGGAATCGTATATATATGTCACAGATGCTTTTCAAAGGACGAAGGAATTATTGTCAATAGGTACAAAAGACGAAACGGGATGAAGATCTTTAAAATTGATGTATCTTTAATCATGAAAAGCCTGTGAAGTTCTCAGCTGCAAGTGATGGCAGTGAAGAGAAGTTATGCAAGGTGCTGCTTACGATACAATTAGTTCGTGGAAGCCGAATTGGTAGTCTAGCTCAGATTTGCGATTGAAGTAGTCCGATTAAGTTTTCTCCATGCCAGGTTGAGCTTTGAGGTAATGGCAGTCATGCTTTTATGAAGTTCTGCGGTAGATGATTCCCGGATCCTCTGCTTCTACTGCATAAGTAAGAGCTGGAGGTACGAGTGTCCACACGACGGTTACAAAGCCTCCTTCGTCCGTGAACTCCTCTTCAACCTGTGTAAGAGATTCAAATCCGCTCTTCTGTTGTGCGTTGACCTTTCGGCACCCCTTGTATTGTTAAGTTTGTACAACAGTGGCCCTAAAATCTTGTAATACTTAATGAAAGCTACTACTGGGTTTGCCTTCCACTTTATCTAGTTGCTCAAAATAAATTTAACTTTGCGAAATTTTGTGAAGCCATTCATCACGGAATCTGTGATGAATGGCTTCACAGCCCACTAAGCCCTGTTTCATATTCTCCAAGCAAACTGTTCTGAGAAATTGTGAGGCGCAACAGAAACACAGACTCTGATCCTTAGCAGTGTTGATGCACAGCTTGAACGTTTTTATTATCTTCCGCAAGGCGACCTGTTGTACATAACTTTTAGCATGAATAGGATTTGGGTTTCTCGACATGTGCCGTACTTCACAATCTCACCTAGTAATCAAGAACGATGACCTTTGCCACATAACTCCATGAATCGTGCATTTTGGCTTAACCCCGCCCACGAAATGGAAGTGTGAAACTAAAACCGTAGAGAACGGCGCTACTGATATCAAATACCAGTGTTTTGATGATAGCGGATTAAAGGTGAAAGCTGAGGTCGTGGACATTATACTAAAGGTTGGAAAAGACGACTGCTTCATCTATGGACCGGGTGATCTCCAGGTGGGAAGAACGGGATGGGGGCAAAGCTCAAAGCACTTGTTTGTACAATTCGAGGACCTTGTAATCTGTCCAGAACATCGAAAGAGCCGGTCAGGCGCACAAACCATAAACAAGATTTATTCACATAGTAAGCTGCGACTCTGGATTTGTGAGGTGCCTGGTAATCTCACACTCAATAATCTCGTATTGAACATCGACACTAGGCACATGCTTGTGTACAAACAACTTCACCGCTGGAGTGGCATCGGAGGAAGGGTCACTGCAGTAGTGTTGGCCAAAACACGGACTCTATTGGAAGTTTAGGATGAACATCGGCTATTTATATCTGACTGACGATGTAGGTTTGAAATGATTGATGCAAGCACTCCAAAAACTCGACGAGCAATCAGTCGTGTATGAGCCTACCAAGCATGAGTTTTATTATACATAGTGAGCTCACAGAGGTACTTATACAAGTAGGGTGTGTAGTGCAGTGCGATCAATCACTGATCTACCACTGCAGTGCAAGAGATATGAGCAGATTTTACTAGATGGAACTAGATGGAGGGTATAGATGGAACCGGACCTGTGAACTTGTTGTATGCAAGGTTCAAGTACGAGAGGTCTGTCAGGTTGCTGATGGATGCTGGAACTTTACCGTCTAGCTTATTATACGAGAGATTCAAGGAGTTGATGCCAAACAGGTAGCTTCCGATGTCTGCAGGCAAAGGTCCTGAAAGTGCATTTCTGGAAAAGTCGAGCTCAATGATTGTACCAAGATTAGCCAGGAAGGATGAAGTGATCGGGCCTGAGATGCGGTTTCTATGCAGATCCAAGAATCTCGCCGATCCCCGGAAGCTCTGTGTTGGAAGTGGACCGTCGAGTTTGTTGTTGGACAAGTTCAGGTCTTGCAATGAAGGCAGACCGAGCACGGATGCAGGCACAGGGCCCGTGATCATGTTCCGAGAGATGTCTAATTTGAAGATTTCCGGAAGCAGCGACAGCCATGGGGGAAGAGGCCCGGTGATCCGATTCCCGTCGAGCCGGAGCTCGAAAATTCTGGGTCCTGGATTGAGGTTCTGAGGGAGAGAGGTGGCCTGAGGCAAGCTGCTCAGGCCATTGTTCGACAGACGAACGTCCCGGCAACTCACCAGCGACAGTGGGAAGGCTCCACTTAGATAGTTGCTGCTCGCATCGAGCTGGAAAATGCCTCCGAAGTTTTGTGGAATCGGTCCCACGAGCTTATTGTGCGACACATTGAGGGAGAAGTCGAGGGCAGCATCGATTTGGCCGAATGCAGCTGGCAAGCCTCCGGTGAGCTGATTCGCACTGAGATCCATGGAGTAAAGATTGGAAGGCGCTGCGAGCTCCCGTGGAATCGATCCCGTGAGCTCATTCTCTCGAAGGTCGATCGTCCGGATCAGCGCAAGACTCCCGAGAGAAGCCGGAATGGACTTGCTCAGACGATTGGACCCGAGCCTCAGGAACTGGAGAGACCTAGCTCGACTGAGCTGAGGAGGAATAGCTCCAGATAGTTGATTCGATTCCAGCTCCAAGCTCTCCAACGATGGGAGGTTGCCCAGATTTGCAGGAATCGTGCCAGTGAGCTGATTACTCGTGAGAGACAGGGTGACGAGAGTGGTCGTCTGTCCAAGACCCGGAGGAATGCTGCCGGTGAGAGAGTTGTATGAAAGAATCAGACCCACCAGTCTCGACCACCGGCCAATGCAGGGCGGAATCGATCCAGTCAGGCGAGTACTCGTCAGGCGGACAGTGGTCAGTCGAGTGAGTCGGCAGAAACTCGAGGGTATGGGCCCCGGTTGAAGGTTGGTGCTGATCTCCAGCTTTTCGAGCTTCAAAAGCTTGCCGAGCTCAGCTGGCAGAGTACCCGTGAGGTTGTTCTCTCCGAAGTTCACCTCTCGCAGCTTTGAGAGCTGGCCGAGCTCCTTGGGAATGGGCGCGTTCCAGCGAATCTGGGTCATGATCAGGTAGTCGAGCTCCGAAAGGCGCCCCAGGGATGCTCCGACTACTCCTCTGTAGCTCGAGTTCCTGAAGGGCGGAGTTCCCCTGCTCGGATCTTGCCCGGATGCGGACTGGACAGCGAGACCCTGCACTCGACCCGTCGAGGTGCAATTCACGCCTCTCCAGGAGCAGCAATTGGTGCCCGGTAGCCAAGTTTGGAAGTCAGCGTCCGGGACTCTCGGAGAAGGAACATCGATAAATGCTGCCTTGAATTCTAGCAGAGCATCCCTGTCGCCGCCATTGCATTGCACCTGTGCAGATGCAGGTCCAAAAGCTGCAAGAAGCACGAGAATGCCGATGGTGAGAACCGCCATGCTTTCACGTCGCTGTTACCCTCGTGTTGTCGCCTCTACTCCTGCATTTCCCAGCAATTGGCTGATGGTTCAGCTGAACGATCAGTTGGCCGCAGTCGAGAGCTCGACTCGACTGGACTGGATTCGTAAGGCAAGATTGGGAGAACAAGCGAGAATATTCGGATTTTGTCAGAATGGAGCAAACGAGACCAGGCGCAGAGAGTGAAGTCGGAGAATTGGGCAGGAGAACAAGCTTCCTTCGTAGGCAGGGAGAAGTTTACAAATCCTGTGGATATAATGATGCTAGAGTAGCGTTTTCTGTTGTAATTTGAACCCAAGCGATCGTGTGTTCGGACGATTGAATTGTTGCAAAGTCAGCGCTGGCCACGGAGACTTGGTCACGGATACTTAATACTGGTTGTAACAAATCTATCTATCTATATTTCACTCCAATCGCCAGACACATCACACTCAGCGTTTCTGCCTCTCTCTCGGGGCACACACTGTAGAGACACTGGCCCACCCGGCGACGACTTTGGATGTGAATTGAGATTGTAAAGCGCTTCGAAAGTGAACAATTGGCATGAAGAAATTGGCCGATTGCTTTCGTGAGCCGCACTAACGAAGGAGACAAAGAATTGCCCACGACATGGACTGAGGATAGGCCAATTATTAAGAGGGGAGTGGTGACAAAAGTTCAGATCTGTTTCTGCGGATGATGAAAAGTTCCGATAATCCGATCCGTATTTTCACCCCATTGACCGTTTCCCACAAAGCAATGTTGATCCAAGATGATGGCCGACATGCATCTTCAGCACTCATTGTCTCGATGCCCAGGTAGATCCCTCGTGTAAAACTGAATGAACCTTGAAGTGACCACACAATACTTGAAGTGACATGTTAAAAGACCAATATAGAAAATGAGTTTCAGTTTCAGGTGTTTCAGTCTCAAGACTTCTTTATGATGCGTTAAAGCCTGAATATAAGTAACATCGAGAGGATGTTTCCTCCAGTAGTCCTAACTAGGTAGGTACATATTCGTTGTACCATCTTTTGGCAAGCTTTCACTTGACCCAAGCATAAAATAACTCTGTTGGTGTTTCTTCCAGTCGTTCTTTCTTGGATTTGCATGGATAGAGAAACATCACAAGAAGAACCAGAAAGCAAAGGCCATCAGAGGCCAAACATTCCAAGCAGGAATTTACTCAATATAAAGCCCTCTCATCACTATCTCCTCCTTCCTCCTGATCTTACTCTCTGTATGGAACCGTTTTCTTTGAACCATATTGTAAGTCATGTTACTTATCTCCCTTCACGATAAGTACACGCCAGTCCAACTACTTCTGTAGATATTTGTCTCTTCTCATGATGGCCAGATCTTTCGCCTCTAGGCTGAGAGACACACAAGAATGTAGATGCACAACGTAAGATATCGAATGTGGAACGTACGTCTCCTTTGGCCGCAAATAAAGTCAACGAGCCCGCAGCAGATACTGATGAATACGTACATTCTGTGAAAACAGATAATTTTGTTTCACTGTCCATGACAATTAAAGTATAAGGTCAACTATGTTTTACTCATAGCGAGAGTTTCGATCCGAAGGTCTGGTACATCAGGAGCCAAAACTTACGCTGCACAGTTTTCCAGCTATTTTATGCAAGTTGCTCACCATTACTACCAGCTCAACGGGGCAAGTTATAAGAAGGGAGCTTCACGCTTTCAAGAAGTGAATTCCAGTCTTTTTCAGAGATCAGAAACTACTTCGAAAGTAGGCTGGATGAGAGTTACATTCTTTTGCAGTATTACTTTCTACGGTCGGCTATTGGGGATCAATGAAAGGCCTAGAGAGCTGATACTTTTTGCAGTAGAAAATGTCAACTTTGTATGTACGGTCGTACCACTTTGCAGTTATGAGTGCACAGCCGTCGTCAATCCTCTCGATTCACCATTACGGCGACATCATTTCAGTGATACACAGAGTTTGAACTAATCGTCGTATAGAGTTAAGGGTTCGTACGTTTCTGAACCGACCATAGACATCACTAAGACCTGACTTTCGACCACGAGTGGAGAGTGAAAGTCACTCTGCAGTTATTAAGTATACAGCCGTCGTCAATCCTCTCGATTCACCATTACGGCGACATCATTCAGTCAATTTCACTGATACACAGAGTATAGAGTTCAAGTGCTCGTACGTTTCTGAGCCGACTATAGACACCACTAAGACCTGACTTTCGACCACGAGTGGAGAGTGAAAGTCACGTTTGCTCACGCTACCTCACGGGGATCAGGAGAGTTTATTCTTCACCTCCTCAATGCGTCGAAAGGTTCAGCAAATCTTGAACGATGGTATCATCGTGGATTGATGCGCGTTTCCTTCTGTCCTAAGAAACATGATCTCCAAACTTCGTCCTTCCCTCACGGATGCTTAGATATGGCAATCAATCTGTGGGACCTGAGTGTCAGGGCAATTTCCACTAGACACTGTGTATGTATATCCGCACCTTCAGATCTACCCTGTTTTCAGTAATTGCATCGACATCAGTTGGTGCCGTTATACTTTGAGCAACTTGACTTGGGTGGACGAAGTTAATTGTTGTTAAAGACCCCAATCACCAAAGAAATCACATATATGTGCAGACAGACCAGAGAGTTCTGGAAAAGCAAGGAGTCTCCTAGCGTCAATTCTGAGCACATGACTATGGAAGTAGTCCAATCCTGCGAAATTCCCTACCCAATCTCTGTCTAATTTAAAGAGAGGAAAAATTGCAGACATGAAAAAAGGCTGAACACTCCAGTATACTTTGTGAGCTCACACTGGGTCATCTGAAGACCCAGTGATTTTTGTAAGAACAGAACCATCAGCAACATTTGGAGAAAGATGCCCTTGACATATGAGCAGTCACTATTTTTCTGATCTTCAAAGAGATATGGGTATCTTCGAAGGGATTGCATTCAATCCCTTCAAGGTATTCTTTGTTTAGCCTGAATCTACAACGCTTCGGCTTCTTCAATTCTTACGTCCTGCAGCAGGTTGAAGTAAACTAGATCGCTTCTTGAGTATCAACGAGTCTCTGACCGAATCATCAAGTGACTCCGATGGCATCTGTCGAAAAGCTTGACTGTGTCAATCGCCCCGCTCAGTCAGCTTGTAATGAAGATTCTGTTCTTCATATAGGAACTTTCTTTAAGTCCAAGGCAAATGATGGGTTATATACAGCGATGATCAATCACCTGGCGAAAATTAGGGAGCACAGGTTCAAATCGCATGTAAGAATAAAGCAGAGTGCGAATGTATGGGCTGATGCTAATCTTCTACCGCCAAGAAGAGATTAGAGAGTTGGAAAATATTCTTAATGAATAACTGGAAAATCATCATGATGTCTCTGCTCTGTTCTCGCCAACTCTGATTGAGCCTCAATTACAGAGTCGAACAATCCCACAAATAGATGTGCTCCCAAGCCTTGCGAATTTATCGAGAAATGTCGCTGGTAACTGTTGCTTACGCTTCCAACTCTTGAGAGTAGTTGAAGAAGGAGCTGAGCGTTCGAGAACAAGGCTCACTCCTCAAATTGAGTGCGATCTTGAAGCCGAAAACCGAGAGAAACTTTCGAAGGAAAGTCGCTGAAGAGATATTGATGTTCCTGACACTGAATGAAGGAATATCTTATATGTTTCTTCCTCGAAACCTTGGGTCTTCTTATAACAACTCCTGCAAAATAAGAGTGATCCATGAAGTCTATTTCCAGTGTCCTCTCAGAACCCAAGAATGGGTCCACAAACGGCGAAATGACTCCTCAGCTTTCGAACTAGCAATAAGGAAACTGGAGAGGTTTACGTTTCGATCTGCAATACCAGATCATAAGCATGTAATCTAAATCTCAGTGTCTCGATATAAATGACTCCAACCAAAAATATCGAGGCATCGAGTGGCCGCTTGAAGAAAGTTTGCTGCTTTTAGAATCTTGGTGGACAGAAGTTATTATAGTAGAGAAAAGCTTCTCAAGTCAATCAATTTGAAAAGTATCGCATGCCATTCAAAAGACATCTGATTGGACTTCGGTTTCTGGACAACGGAGACATGCTTCAACTCTCAAGCTTCACGAGCGCTTAGATGATATCCCTTTTGTTACGTACATACACAAGTATTTGTCAAGTACTGCTGTGAGCTTTAAGTTGTTGTGGTCACGATCGAGTTGGTATTAGAAGGAAGACTTCGCTGTTGTTCCTTCTCACAGACCATGCCTCCACTTCCGTCACTGCTTTTTATCCAGGGTTTGAAAGAGGGCCATACTCTGAAACTCGTGATGTCACATATCACATAGTACATCTTTTAGTTCCAGAATATATGCTCCAGAATCTGCTATCTAGGTGTATCATTATCGGCCATCAATGCGTTGATCAGCCAAATAGCTGATCAAGCGTAGTATCTTTTCTTATTGGTTTGATACCTGATACTAATCCAATTTCTTTCACGTGTGTGGGTCCAACGGTGCAGCTTGCAGCACCGGACTTACCAGTGCCGCCTCTATGTAGCACCACAGCCACAGACGGCGCAGCTCTAGCTTTCTTCACCGGAAGACCGATAAAGAATAGGCAAGCTTGCGGTCGTGAAGATGGATTCTAGAGTGCTGGTCTGATTTGTTAATGGCTGAAGTGTGTAATATCAATGTGTAGGCCACAGCTGCACCAAACCAGACGACTGTATTCCCGACGAAGGAGAGTCCGGTTGTGGCATGGAATAAACCCTGATGAGAGAACAGAGGCCATCAAGACTCAGGGGAACTGGATAGTATCCTCAAAGAGAAGTCATTCCAGCTTGCCCACTGATCAATAACTGGAATCAAACGCCCGTGCAGGAAATATTGGTACACAGAGAAATTACACATTGAGAAAAAGTAGACAAAAGGCTGCAGTAAAGATGTTTTCCGCAAAGTAAAGCAGAAGCATTTTGACATTTCCACGATAGCTGGCGCAAAAGAAATACTAATTACTTACAGGGACCACGGTACATCACATCACATCACGGTACCTCACATCGCGAAGAATATGGACAATGTGTGAAGCTTGCTGCGCTGGATACAAAGTCAGTGAGGTAAATAGTCAGCAGTGTCCATCGTGTAAGAGTACTCCATGATTCAAGCTGAAGTAGGGGACTAATATGGAGTTTTCATCTCTTCAACGATGTCAACTTCAACATGAAAAGAATACGCTTTCCACCCTTGTTTCTGAAAGCTTTTAAAATGCGAGTTCTGTACTTCAATTCTGTAGTTTACACTGAAACGCTGGTTGTGGAGTAACCTTTTGTAAAACCCAGACGTGAAGTCTTTCATCGTCACATACAAGGAAGAATAAGAACCCAATTTGACAACCTCTGCGTCTTTCATTAGTGAGTACGTGTGCGGGACACAAGAGCTGCCTATTTCAACGTTTGGAAAGCTGTACGTGTGGGGTGCCGCCAGACCATGCAAGAAGCGAGGTCGCTCATTACAACGTGCAGGACTGCGCTTCGTAAGTAACAGGACGTCGTAGAAAAGATAATGTGAATTCCAATACCATCGTAGCTCAGGCGTAGTTCTAGCTCAGATCATACAAGTAGACATAAACGCGAGTCTGGATCGATCAAATAGACAGCGGATCGGGAGAGCCCACACCAGCAAGAAACACTTTGGAGCGAACCAGCAGAAAAGACTAGGACAGTAATTTACCGAAGCTCAGAAGTACACAGATTACATCAAAACGGTTACGCATGTGGACCAGGAAAACCATTAAGAGGTAGCAATGTCTGAACTTCCATTGTGTAGAAGTCAACTATCCGTCATTCGGAAGATGGCTCTCTCGGAGAACAAGCATATCATTTCACAACAATGAAAACGTCATTTCACAACACGCTGAGGCAACTGTCCCATATTTTTCTCATTTCCAGTCGAAACCAAGTTGAGAAGGCATATTTCCCATGCTTGAGGTACAATACCAACCAAAATTATTCCTGAACAACCACCAAATGAAGGCCGAGCATCTGAACCGTAATGCTCTTGCATGTTCATCCAAAAAACTTCTCGCTTTTCAGAATCGTGGACAGTGTTAACGCCATGGTAAAAGTGCGTGTGGTTTACAGCATGTTCTTTTCGATAGATATAATAGCACGTATAATCTACAGATCTAGTGATTGGTGTTTGGGAGAGATTGACGTTGAGAAATTCCACTTTGGGCAGTATTGTGATCACCCGTGACTAAGGAGACTTGAACTTTTGCAACTGGCAAGGAAAAAAAAGGATAAATATACATCACGGTGTGGCTATAGGTACATCTTAGATCAGCGCTGTATATATTCAGAAATTTTATGATGAAGCCCCGCAGTCCCTAGAGAATGAGAAGGTTTCTGAAGACAAAATGAACGGAAAGAAATTCACCTGCAGTCTAAAAAGGTCGGACGAATTTGTTTCTGCATGAGCAGCTCTTGCAGCTGAACCTTTTATTATCGGCTGAGAGTGCTGAAAAGTTTCTGGTGAAACAACATAAATCTCTTACTTCTATTTTAGACACAATGCCCACTTATTTTGTTTTTGCCCACAGAACCCTCTGTTCTCTGCATAATTGTTCACTTCTCTCTCTGTACAATGCTATGCACATTATGGAGCCTGTAGGCTTGATTTGAAGTTTCCTGACGATTTTCTAGTGAATGACGTAGTTTCATCTCGACTGAAACGTTCGCAACCGCTGCTTGTTTGTTTAATTTGTCTAAGGTGATCGAAACAATTCTAATTTCCTCCATTTCCATTTGTCGCAATGTTCACGATTCGGTTACCTTCTTTCTCTTTCTGATAGTGGGCTGTTAGTTTTGGGATTCATGGCTACTGGTTCCCGTCTGTTCCCTGAACGAAACGCCTCCATTATCTACGGATTTGAGACAGAAGAATCTGTCGAGTCCCTGTATGACGGGTCGCTAAACGAGCAGGCTTGAATTTACAGCTATGAATTCCAAAGTGCACTCGGTTTGCGATCTTCCAGGACAATTTGAGACTGATGCACGAGCGCAACATCAAACAGTCCTCCTACAAGCTAGAATTGAACCAATTTGCAGATCCGACGTTCAAGGGTTGAAATCCCTTCACCTTAAAGCAAAGTTCCGGAAGAATGTAATGGCTCATCAGGCACTGACTTTCTCTTACGACAATATCAGTCGACTCAGGAGATGTGCCATCTGCTGCACACTGGAGAAAAAGTGGATGTGCTACTCCCGTTAAGTATCAAAGGATGTGCAGTATGCCTTGCAGTAATTATGCCAATTAATACCTGGGCTTAGTCATCAAAGATGTTCTGTTCTGTTCTCCATTCCGCAGTTGTCTCTTTATGATGAACTCCTTACCTCATTTTTCAGTAAGTTGTTAGGCGGATTTGTGGAAGTAAGGGAAAGTTGGTTTCTCTCTCTGAGCTGGAGTTAGTTGGTGGCGATGCCACAAACAATTCTCAGGGCTGAGAAGGGGCCTACGTGGACTACGTTGTCGAATTCAATTCAATTCACAAAGGCATTGATTCCGAGAAGATTTCGCTTAAACGTCGGCCGATGATGCTTGCATCAAATGCAAATCAAGACACAATCCCGTTGATCTTTCCAGATGAGTGCAGTAATGCCTTCAGGTCGCAATACCTGGTGACATAAAATTAAATATTCTCCTGCTGTATGATGTCATCTTCTTCTCCGATTGAGATAAGAGCTTATAACACCTCATGCCTCGTGCGCAACAGAAGGCCGATGTGGCATCCATCTCTGCATAAGAGGACGTGCCAGCGATGAGCGAGAAGAACCTGAACGAAGCTGTGGCCATCAGCCAGTAAGCGTTGCCATCGATGCCGGGGACGTCAGTGATCAACTGTATACAAGCGCAATATATTGCTCCCATCACATTCATCTCATTCCAGCGCATTTGCGTGTCTCGCACCAGCTGTTTTCATCGTCAGGCTTCTTCAGGATCCACGATCGATTTGGAGAAATCAAATCACAACATCAACTGTTCGCGACCAATCTGTGAGTAATGGCCACCTGACCGATCCTACACGCCATATGCTGCGGGCCCTGCGGCACGTACCTCGACCGTGGAGTCACACAGCAGGGGGCTACGGCACGGCCGCAGGTGAGGACTTCTGGATCGTCGAAAACTCTCGGCCCGCCGGTTGGGATGAGGGAGGAGGGCAATTCAGCGCAATGTTCCGCAGGCTGAGGGAATGCCATGGTGGAGTCCTCTGCTGAGATGGCTGCGATCAACTCAGCTGTAGATTTTCTATACTCGTCTACACCATCAATAATTGCACAGCGGAATTGTGCCTTCATACTACAAGCAACTGGAGGATTGTCCGGAGGCAAACTCAGGCTATGAAGAGCAATTTCAGCAGCCTTCTCCCTCCAGCAGCTCTACGAGCTAGAGACGGCTGACTCGAGAAAATCAGTGTCGGAGCGTCGAAGCAGAAGCACAAGAGACCCAGAACTCTTCGCGATCCGCTGGAAAAGTAAGCATCGGAAAATAATAGAAAAAAGCGAGCGCGTTGTGCCAAAAGACCGAACCGTTATCCACCTCCCAGCCCCTCGTGCTCGGATCGAAGCAGATTCCAAATCGGTTAGTGGATCGCCGAGACTTGTCCTCTTGCGGCTCGTATCGAGAGTTTGGAGGCAGCAGTCGACGATGTGAAATCACAATGTGAATGCAGAGAAGTGTATTATCAGAATCGCCTTGGAAGAACAAGGATTTAGTTACAGCTCAAGAGTCTAGAACATCGAGAATATCCTAATCGTTCTGCCTTGAGAAGGGTCAAGCAAGACCTTGGTACTGGATCCTGAGAAGCCCAAAAACTGTACCCCATCCGAGCTCCTAGAGCCCTGGCGCTCCTCGCTCGCGGCCGAGGCGAACCAGGCAACCGGAATGGTTTCGTGCATACGGTTCTGTACCGATACGCGATGCATATGCAAGATGATCATCAAAGTGGTTCGCACTCTTCCATAAAAAGGTGTAATTTCGAAGAGCACATGCAACATAAAGTACAATTTCTCCGTGCTAGTGTATCAAATGTGGCGTTGATGCCGACCTAGTACACGGACCAAAAGCTGGCCTACCTTTCCTCCTGTATAAGCTTTAGGATCTCTGTAACTAATATACAATCGTCAGCAGCCATCGCCAATCCCCGCCTCGCTGGTCCCCGAATGCGCGTACGAATTCTAAGTAACAGCCTCTAGCTTATGCGCGTGCTGATCCTGCAATCCGGGTCGGTGCGTCGGGATCGTGACCGTACTGGCTGGACTCCATACTCCCGCCTCATCCCTCATTCCTCATCCCTCATCCCTCATCATCACGTCCTGCGCTTCTTTCTTACGACACTATGGTTTCTTACGCCACCTCGAGCGACAGGCGGCGCCGAGCGAAACCCAATTCCTGCTTCGAGCACAGAATCCGGCTCGGTATGTCTGCAAGACCCTATAGTAGTTGGTCGCAGCGGACGGCGTCCGCGCGGCCATAAGCGGAAGATCGATCCGGACGGTCAGTCCTTCAGCAAGTCGACTAATTTATCATTGCGCTTCATGAAGCGCTCGGCGTTGCTCTCCATGGATTTGGTCGGCCACTTCACCTGGATCTCGGCCACCAGGAACGTGTTGTTGCGGTAGGCCCGGATCAGAGCATTGGCGCTAGTGTTGGTGTTGTCGGAGCCGACGGCCTGCAGGATGCGCAGGCTGTGCAGGTGGCCCTCCTCGAGCAGCGAAGCCATCTCCACCAGGCCCTTCTCGCCCATGCCCACGCTGTTGAGCATCAGCACCTGCAGGTTGTTCAGATTGTTGGACCGCAGCGCGCCCGAGAGCGCGTTCAGGCCCTCGTCACCCATCTTGTTGAACGACAGGTCCAGCGACAGCAGCGAGGAGAAGTGCGGCGAGAGCAGCGCGCTGGCGATGGCGCGAGCGCCTTCCACGCCCAGCGTGCACCCCCACAGGCACAGCGACTTGAGGCAGCCGCGCACCATGCCGGTCTCGAGCGCGCGCATGATGCTGATCACGCCCTTCTCCTCGACCAGGCGCTGCAGCATCAGATCCTCCAGCAGCGCCAGCTTGCCGCTCTGGAAGGCGATGCCCAGCGCGTCTGCGCCCTCCAGCTTGAAGCCGTCCGTCTTCGGCCCCAGGTGCAGCGACTTTAGCGCCGGGACGTGCCCGAGCCCCAGCGCGCCCGCCACCGCGTACAGGCCCACGTCGCCGATGTCGTTCGTCTCCAGGTGCAGCGTGTGCAGGCACGAGAGCTTGCCCGACTCGATGGCGTCGGCCAGCGACTTGGCGCCAGCGGCGCGAAGCCCGCAGTTGACGAGCTTGAGCACGAACACGCGGCCCAGGTTGCCCTTCTTGATGGCCACCGAGAGCTCAGCCATCTCCTTCTCCTCGATCAGCGTGTCCGACAGAATCACCGTCTCCAGGCGCAGGAAGGGCCGCTGCTGCAGCGCCCGCGTCAGGGCGCCGAAGTTGGGCAGCGCCGTGCTGTTGGGGAACGACGACAACCCGGACTTGCTCGGCGAGTCCATTCTCAGCAGGTACCGCGTCAGGTGCAGCTCCGTGGCCCGGTCCAGCTCCTGCACGATTCGCTGCTCGTCCTCCTTCTTCGATTCCGGCGTCAGCTTCTCCAGGATCCCCAGAATCACCGCGCTCGGGGACGACCGCGGCGACATGTTGCACGAGATCATGGCCATTGCGAGTCGAGGGGATCGGAAAAGCTCTCCGGATGCGCACCTGCCAATGAAACGCGCATGCCCCACTGTGTCAGTCGCGCGCTCACTTCCGATCGATTGCAATCAGGCAGGCAAGCAGACATACAAGCAATGTCGTCTCGATTTCTCGGACTCGAGCAAGCACGTCGTAGATTCACAAACGATCGACCCAGCGGACGCGAGCGTGCGAGTGAATTTGCAATGAGGGACGAGGGGTGGAATTCGAGTTCCACTCGGGATTGATTTGTGCGAGAGTGAGGGACCGCGTGTACTCACCGTGTTGATGAATGTGCTCAAGGAAGAACCGACATAGAGTTGAGAGATATGGACACACGAACCGGTTGAGCTTGGCCCGACTTTCGCACGGATGGGAGAGAAGGAAAGGGCTAGCTATTGGTTCGAACAATGAGCCATGCCCAGCTTTTCAATCCGCCCGCACAAAGGCCACAGTGCGCTCTGCGAAGTGAGAAAGGAATCGCGTGCATTTGAGACCAGCTCAGGTCACGAGCTCTCCAGTGCTCAGGGCCCTCGGAGCCACAGAGGGAAATGCATGCGGCCCCTGACTCCGCCGTCCCTTCTTCAAGCGCCACACGGCCACTCTCGCTCGGCCATTGCCCTCTGCAGCTACATACGCTCTCCCTCCCCTCCCCTCCCCACTCCCGGAGCTCCGATCTCGGAGCCGAACCTGCATCCGGCATCCATGTCGTCAGCTAACCCGCACTCCGGTTCCGCTCTCCCGCTTTCCCTCCGCCCCATCGCTCGCCGCCCTTGAAAAGCCTCTGACCCCCCGGACGTACTCCACCTCGAGCCCGCTGGCCACAGGAATTTCCGAGCTCCATGGCCGCCTGCCCCCACAGCATTCCCCTTGTCCTTGTCCTCGTGAACAGGAATCCTCTTTGATTCCTGCAACCGAATTCGCTTCGCAAGGAAAGGGGGCACTCCGCGAATACCCACGAGTCCACAACTGTTGCTATCCCCGAGTGGAGGAGGAGGGCGATGGTGAGTCGGCAGCTGGATGGGACCCTGGATCCCTTGCGTTCACGTGTACGCCCGAGCCACAGCAACAGTTCATACGTATCACGTACGTTGTTGTTGTTGGAGAGCCGAATTCGAGCCCGAGCTCGGATTGGAGGTCCATTCCCGCATCCCTTTTTCTCAGAACAGGGTCCGAGCGACGGAGGCGAGCGATGGGGAGCAGGTATATTCGTGATTGATTGACGAGCATCCGCGCTCCAGGTGGGACTCGGACTGGGACTGGGACGAGCCTGAGGTCGAGCCTGAGCACGCACGACTCGGATCCGGATTTCGAGCGCCACAGTGCGGCTGATCATCCCAGAGCAATGACCGAGTCCTCGGGTGCCTATGCTCGTCCAGCGCTCGGCTTCCAGCTGGTCAAAGATTCTACTCGCTGCGCGAGTCCGAGTTGATATCCTGGACGACCTGCTAATGCCATCTTCAGATAAAGTGATGCCATTGCTGATGAATACTCTGTTGGCGGATGAGTCAGGCCCCTTGGACGTGCGCCGGTGTACACCCTGGAGGGCCCCGACGCACCCGAAAAGCCTATATAGTTGCGAGCTCCATTCGTCCCAGGATTTGTCTTGTAGAGAGTTCGCACATGTGAGCAGTCCTTCATTTCGCTCGGCATCGCCCGGCTCAAGGTTTGGCAGCACTCTTCGGCTCGAGAATTGCACCCTGCTGAGGCGGGTTGGGTCGATCGCGTCATCCTCATGCCGCGAGGCACCGGATCGGTGCCAATGATGAGGGCGGGCACTCGTTGCTTTCGCCCCCGTTTTGCACGTCGGGCGCATCTGAACGAACACGCAGCCGGAATGATTGAATGAATTTACGTGCCGAGGACGAAGGTTTCTTCTCTGTCATGTTGCGGACTCCATTAAAGGCTGATTTGGAGTTGATTATAAGAATAATAGCATCCGTATTTTGAGTAAGTAGATGGCGGACGACTTTCTCTATCGATCGATCGATTTTTACTGTTGAGGTCATCATCATTCAGCCACGAATTTGCCCATTCTGGTGTTCTTTTCCAGGGAACATCCATACTGCGGTAATCTGTGCATTCATCTGGTCTTTGGACTGACAGCTGCTGCTGTTGTCTTGTAGATTCAGACAGGAAGACTTCACCAGACACACGGATTAGAAATACTTCGATAGCTGACTAGTGACCGATGACTGAATCGATAATGAACATTTATATCATAAACAGTCCATGTGCAAAACCTGTGTGACTTTTAGCTCCTCGCCACAGCCAGTCTACTTGTATTATAAAACACAGCTGAGTCTCTCTTCAAATGCTTCCAAAAATCAGGGAACAGTCGTGAGTAGAAGCTACCTTTTAAAAATCAGGTTTCCTATACTGATAGGAAGATTAGATGCTAGCTAGCTTCCACGGCTCTCTGCCGCCTCTCCTGCACAGCTGTCCTGGGGCTTCAAACGGCTCAAATCAAGCTAAGAAGTGGAGGAGAGTACTTCACTAGTTTTCTGCGATCTATCGAAGTTTCAATTCTTCTTACATCATTTGAGAGAATGAAACGATTGAATCAATAACCTGGACCTTCGCTGCTGTGAGACCCTTAAGCCACGAGACGAACTTCAATTTCGGTATATAACCTCATCATCGGTACTAGAGGATCCACATTGCTTTCCCTAAACAGTAGTGCAACGAAATCTTTCAAACATTGTAGAGTGAATGATCAGGATACAGCCTCCTAAACCCCAGGAGGATTTCCATCTCTTTCCATTCTCATCGAATAACGGCTAGCTCTTCCTACGGGATGAGTGCACATTGTCAGTGCCCGCCGTAATGAACGATCATGAGCCATGTATAGTTTCATGCATTTCAATTATCCATATTTTTCGGTGCATGTTCGACATAGAGATCCCAATTGTCTCTGTTGAATCAGTATGTTAACACTGCATGCTCAATCCAACTCGATCCGATTGAATCTTTAGTAACTAGACTGCATAGAGTGCAGCTCACACTTCACCACAGATCCAAACTGTGGCATGTTTGACATTAATTGGATCTAAAAAAACTTGACAAGGCAAAAGGGGACAGTATTGTGTACGTTATTTCCTTGAGTCACTCATTAGACTCATATGGCTCTTGCACTAGACGCTACTTCATTGCGTCACGCTCCATGATGGAGATCTTTTCAAGGGCTCGTGTATACTTGATATAACTGTACACCACAATTATAGAATTTCAGTATTCAGGTTCTTGTTTCGGTATTGTTCTCGTGCCTAGACACGGATACTTCTTGTTTTTTCTTGAAGTGAAACAGGCTGTTGTTTTTAGCTGGTGAGAGAAATGTTCAAAGGTATTCACTGCGCACCTGCGGTGAGAATTACGTTACGGATAGTACCCAGTTTGTAATACAGTATCACATTTATTGGTGAGGAAATCATTCAGTTTTCGTGGTTATTTTTGTAGAGTGTACTGTCAGCAGAGTGACCTGAGTAGGAAGTGAAAGAGTCTTCTTTGAGAGAAAATTAGGAACATGCAGAGTGTTACAGAGAACTTGTTGAGTGAAAACAAAAGCTAGAAGGAAAATATGTTGGTACATGCTATAACAAAATGAGAGGGTTCCTAGCAGCTCATAGCTTGAATCGAATTGCAACTAGTAAGGGACGGAAGCCCATCACTGGAGATGCCGAGTGCTTGAGAGATGACAAAACATTGGCAGCGTCAGAGTTTTCGATTTCGGATGGTGAAATCGTCCACATTCAGAAATGCAACATCGTCAATGGAAGCATAAACCACATACTGACACGGACGTATGAGATGTTGTCAATGACGAGATTTTTTCACCTGTCAGGAATTCCAGAACGTTGAATTTAACGATATAGTGTCTATGACGAAGTTCTTTACATATAGTGAAGATGTGGTAGATGTGGTTTCCATCTTTAAATAAAAAATTGTGACTTGATTTCCTTAACTCTCACCGGTCTTCCAAGTCTTATCGACGACCAATGACAAATATGAGTTTTACTAAACGATTGCGAACATTTGCAGATCTCAGCAAGAAGAGTAAAGAAGATCACGAGAAGATGTTTGTGATGGAGAGAAAGGGATTAATTTTGTTGGAGCATTTGCATCCAGAAGAAGGCATGGCACAAGGGGAACGAAGACGGAAACAAACGCTGCAAGTCTAAGAAGTGTGACAATGGAAACCCAAAGGCATCTGCCGTTGGAACTATTACTAAGGAAAAAACAAGTTCCATGCGTGTGGAATCTAAGAACACTGGGCAAGAGAGTGTAAAACATGAATAAATTCAGCTCAATATCACTCAAGTCTAAAATAAAATTTCAAAATTGGATGTGATACAACTGAAGTAATGCTCGGAGAGCAGAAACAACACGAATCTACTGGTCCAAATCAGTTTATTTGTCGTTTATGGGCGAGGAAACAAAGTTTGGAGATGTTTGGTTGGTTGACTCTAGATCTTCTGATCATTTGATTAAGACAAGGAGTCGGTTTAAGCTGCTTAAGCCGTGAGGGACTTGTTGTCACGATGGGAGATGGAGCTGACAGCAAGTTTGAAGGCGAGAGGAGTGCAGAAGTAAATCGCCATATGGAATTATGAAGGCGATTTGGACTGTCTGTTAAGTACTTGGACTTAATAAACATTTTATCAGCATAGAGAAGTTTAACAAGCTCTATGAGATGGAGGTTATATTCTAGTACAGTACTTCTCCAATGTTCGACGCGTATGAATGTGGAAGTCCAGTAAATCTGCATTGTGTATAGCATGGAAGACTCTTCAAGCTGGACAGTAAGGTCCGTGCACAGTTTGATCACCAAGGTGGACAGGTCCAAAGTTTGGCATAGACGTCACAAACGTCTGAAGGTCCACAAATTGTTGATGTTGTAGGAGCTGAACATGGTGGAAGGACCCTCCGACATTGAAGGAGGATCTCAAATGTTGCAAAAGATGTCCGCTTGGCCAGCAGACAAGCGAAAGTTTTCCAAAGCAGAAAGCTACTCCTGCTACGAGAGAGGTTGTTTTGTAGGACCAAGACTCACACACGCAAGGTCAAGATGATCAAGACGAATCATGGGCATCGTACTCCAACTGAACGTACTAAATAATCCTTCACAAAATGGAATTGATGACAAGCGTCATCGTTTAGTGATGGAGAGGCTGAAAGCTAAATCAAATATTAGAACATCTTCAAGCTTCAAGAATTCAGCATCTGATCTTGTTGAAGAGGATATGAGACTACCACTCACCACCTCACTGTAACATGTGGATATGCTTCTGTACATAATACAGTGAGGTGGTGAAAAACCACCTGGGCTATTAAGGTCTAGGAAACTTTCTCCGTCATTTGCAGGGTTGCAAAGCTGAGAACCCTATATATCATAGACTCTTAGAAAGTTTGGTTATCCATCTCACTGTATTGGCAACAAGTGTTACTGTAGCAGCAAAGTTTTCTTACAATGTGAATATGTGTAGATGTTTACTCTTGTTACACTAGTTCTGAAGTTTTTGAGAACTATGGATTCTGATTTTCAAATCATTGTAGGACTATGAGGGAGAAAAAATCATTTAAGCAACGATAAGTATCACCTATTTCAACCTTTTATATCAAATTTATGACAACGTGTTCTTATTTCTTTACCCAGTGTTAAATCATGCAATGCAAATGAAAGCAACAACCTAACGTGTTGCAACAATAATGTTATCCAATTATTTGTATACCATTTTATACATATAGTTCAAATATGAAAGGTGTTGTATAACTATTGAAGCTATCCCTAGTCTCCGGTTTTGTTCTATGACATGTAGTGTTCGTGATAGTCTCGTGCGTGACATTTTCTCTGTCATTTTGCAGGGTTGCAAAGCTCAGAACTGTTAGAATTGTATAATGTATACTTGACACGCATGGATGGAAGCTAGAGGAAAAGACCGTTATTTGTGCATTTGAGCATGATGTGAAGTACGGCAACGAGTGGGATATGAAGTGCGTGGAAAGTACCAGCTTGTTTGTCACCTGAAAAGATTTGCATGGCCAAGGACGAGCTACTCGGGCATGTCACATCTTGCTGACCGAAGTGATGCTGGTCCAAGTATCAACGAAGTACGACTTAGAGGTTTAGTTGTCTTGTATGTAGATGATACTCTACCTCCAAACTATGATGACAAGCTCTTTCTTCGGAGTTTGAACAGTAGAGGTGGGAGTTGATGATTGTCCTTGCATCGCAAATCGGATATTCATACTGATTTGGGCCCAGGATAGCACTAGGTGTGAAAAATGAATTCTCATGGAGTGTTCTGAGTGTGTAGTTTTTATGGTTTGAATCTATGGTGAGCAGACTGCAACTGTGCAACTGACACTTTAGTCCACCAGTCACATGTCTGAAGATAAATCTGACCGTATAGAAATGACAAGGCAAAGTATACATCATGTGGTACATTT